AATTACGTCAATATGTACTTATGTGGTTATTACACTCGCTTTCTGTTCGAACAATAAACTTCCCATTCGTTCTAGTGTGAACTCAGCATAAACTTCGACTTGTGCCCAACTTCACTCGTATCAAAATTTGTTACTAGTTACACACTGGGTCATTATTTATAAAAAGTCGGAAACTTAAAGAAAGTGGCTAGATGAAACCCGTTTCTAGTTACTACTCTTAAATTATTTTGAACTTAGTTTACCATAAACTTTAACTCCTCAATTCAATTAGGTAATAATTAGAAAAATCTGCTGCTTCAAACAGAAAATATATTAATAGTCAATTGAATTATTAGGTATTTACCATTTAACAATATAAGACTTTAATTGTAGGTACACTCTTATTAAAAAGTTATTTAATAAAATTTTTGGGTAAAAGATCCTTATGTAATGTATTAAATATAATTCGAAGAACTCAGAATGATTGTAAGACTTTTCTGTTAAAATCGTTTGATGAGATGAAATTTTCGTTTTTAATTTTTTAAAAATTCATAATTCGAATTACTAATTTTAAGAGAAAATTACTGGTTTTTTCAAAAATTAAAAAAAGAAACGCTCCGATCAAAAAATTATTTTTTTTTTTCAAACGGTATACTTAGTTCAACATTATTTTAAAACTAGGAATTATTGGAAAAATTAATTATTAATTATAAATATTTTGGGTCGAATTTAATTTGGATTAATTGTCATTACGTTTTTCGTTTTTTATTGTTCTTCTACTTGTTTACAAAATGCAAAAGGATCCTTTTAATAGCCTTTGTCTTTAGCTCAAAAAAAAATGTAGAAGGGAATAAGTCGGTTTTGCTCATACGGGATTGTTCGTGATTATTCAGAAATCTTAGAAAGTAAGACAGAATATCTACCTTATTTATTAATAGAAAATTATTAATTAGTTATAGAAGAATACTATTGGTCATACCTATACAGAGCGTATGATGAAACTTGCCGGTGAGGAAATTACTTTTAATAGAAAATTTTTATCATAAGAATTGGTAAGAAAGGCAAAATAAGAAATATAATATATCAAAGATGTTTATAACTGTTTTTTAAATTATCGCCAAAAAAACTCAAAATAAATAGCAGAAAATGAAAAGTTTTATTATTTTCTATTAAAAGTATAATAGCCGCACAACATGTTTAATAAAATTAATACTGTAATATTATCTAACTATATACAATCTTTTTTCTAATTATCTACGATGTAGTTCTCTGTATTTTCTAGCATACTTACAAACAGCAAATTTTTATTAACGTGGATCATACAGAAATTTATGGTTCATTTTTAATGAAATGGGGAAAGTTAAATGTAATTCGCACTCCATTCACTCCCTTACAAATACGAACTCATTGTAATGACTCCAGCGATTTTCTTCCGAATCGACTCCGGGTTTAAGATCTGCTGTACTTCCGGCTGTTCCAGACCCGCAGCTTCCCATTAATTTAAAACCTTGCTCTATTAGCATTTCGAATGCTTGTTCCAAGAACGAATGTTTCAGGAAAAACCTAGACGTGTAACGTTCGGTCTGACCGTGATCGGGGTCCCTACTTTCGTTCAAAGTTTCCCCGAATACGTCCCTGCATAAGGTGACCCGTCCGCAAACTAAGATCCTGGTCAATTTTCGAAATTTCACGTCGGCAAGTCCGTCCTTTCCAAATTGAAAACTGCCCCTGTAACCGACAGTGATGACTCCAGGTTGTCTAGGTTTGCTCTGCTCGTTTATAGATTGCACAATCGCGGGCAGGCGCAGCTTTTCAGCTTCTTTTTTCAAACGTTCTTTCTCTCTAAAGCATTCAGGAAGAACTAATGCCCCGTCTCGTAAATAATCAAGGATGTACCTGAAAAGGATCCCGTCGCGATCAAGGAAGCTGCGTCCTTTAGAATCCTTCGGTATGGGAATCTGGCCAGTGAATATTTCTGTTAACACCGAATCTGGCACTTTAGTAAGCGTTTCCAAGTTGGTTGTATAGCCAACACCGCCGACGTTCAACTCGACTACCGAGAACGCGGAGTTTTCCGACATTGCTGCGTGGTTGTGGCAGCCACACTGGGTCACTAGACTCGGAGAGAGTTTCCCCGCCCTCTCTACAAAGTGGCGGGACTCGGAAAATTGGGATCACTATAACGATTTATCCACAGGATACGGCGGCGCTACGCGCTACTCTCCGTCTCTCTTCTCCATTCCTCTTGACCTATTTTCTTGAATGTAATATTAAAGTGGATACGAATTTCAAAAACAAAAAAAGGAAATGACGTTTTCATGAAGTATTAAAGAAGCCATCAAAAACAAAAGCAAAAAAAGGAGTGGAGAAGCTTTCTGTGGCTTTCAACAGTAATACAGGATCTGGGGTTTCATTCGATGTATTTACATTTGATACTTCTTTTACTTTCACTACCGCACCTTACGGGGCAATTTTTTGTTTTTCTTTTTTCTTTACACTTATTAAAACCCAATTAATTTGCAAATAGAATTTGAAATAAGTTTCAGTTATTTCTGTTTTCTTATTCATAAAATCTATGCATCTACACATGTAAATAAATTGAAGTGTCTGTCTGTGTGTAATATTAAAATGACTACCCTTTTTATGATTATATTTCGTTTTTTTTTGTATCCTATTAAGATACAAAAGAGACTTAATTTTTGTGGTTATAACAATTTATTGTTTCATACGGATGAAGTTACGCCAACAATAAAACAAAGAACAGTGAATTTTTAATCTTCAAAAATTATTCTTCATTATATAGACGTACAGTTTGGTCATTGTAAGTTTTTATGTTTATTATTCAACAATACACTATAACTTTATATATAAGTACGTTGTCAATTAAATAAAAAATAGAACCAAGACTTCTTCTTATCAAAAAAATGACATAGGATAGGTAGATACAAAAACAGTAACGATAACATGCAATTTCACGAAGTAGAATTTATGAAGTAAAACAAATTCGACACGTTCAAAAATTTAAGATTATGGAAAATTATTTGGTATTTAATAACTCAGTTCCAGTAGAATTGGATAGCGTTAAATGAGAAACTAACTCATTTTCACCTTCTGACTAGCCCGGCAGATCATGTTTGGCCTGGATGGGTAGTTGAACTTACACACTCTGGAGGAATGGGAATAAGAAAGGATAAAACAGAATAATAATGTTGAAGTTATTATTATATTACATAACATACAAGGGAAAGAGCGAATATAAAGATAGGAGACGAAAAATTAGAAGAAGTGGCTGATTTTAGATATCTAGGAAGTCAGATAAGTCAGGATGGAAGGAGTAGTAGGGATACAAAGCAGAGAATAGCGCAGGGTCGAGTCGCCTTTAATAAAAAGAAGTCACTTCTATGCTCGCAAACGGTTAATTTACAAATTCGAAAAAGGTTGTTAAAGGTGTATGTTTGGAGCACGGCATTGTACGGATGCGAAACATGGACAGTGGGCGCGGCGGAAAAGAAAAGGTTAGAAGCGTTCGAAATGTGGTGTTATAGGTTGATGATGAGGATAACGTAGGTAGAAAAGGTTAGAAATAAAGAGGTATTAGAAAGAATAGGTGAACGGAGGACTCTATGGAAGTCAATAAAAAATAGGCGAGATAGGTTGGCAGGACACCTTCTTAGGCATGAAGGTCTAGTCAGAGACATATTAGAGGCAGAAACAGCAGTTAGGAGGGGTAGAGGTGTTCGCAAATAGTTAAGGATGTGGGCTGTTCTAGTTTTAGGGAAATGCGAAGTGTAGCGAACTATAGGGTTAAAATAGTCCGTTCCAACATTGGAGTGAAAAATTGTTGTAATTATATACGTATTCTGCCGTGATTGTTTTTANTTAATATACTTATATATTTTTTTATAAATATTTGAAGCATATTTTTTAAAAATAATTGCTTTACAATTTTCTAAACAATTTTCGTATAAATTTTTATTACCATCACCGATTGCATACATGCGTTGACTGACCCTCAAAAGCTCAAAACTCCGAATAACTAATTTAAAATATAACTCTGGAGACGACGTGTATGACTGTCGCCTTGGAGCCCAGGTACCTAGGAGGTCATTGCCGACTGCATATTCGTGACCCTCAAAACTCCTAAGTAACAAAATTGGACTTATTTCTACCATTACTTATAAGAGTTTTTTCTTATGCACCGATGCATTTTTGAAAATTAATTGATCTCTTGTGTTCACAAGGTTTGTCGACGGTCTCACGAATCGAATGCAGAAAACCGCATGTTTAGTGCTAATAATTATGTATATTTTTACAATTATTTTTATTCAAAAACTTTTCCGTTTAATAATGAGGTTTTTCTGTCACTAATACCTGGCTCATTGTTAGCTCATTCATACCTGTTTTCAGAACTTTTCTATACCTGGCTGAAGTCAACACCCTCTCGTCTATGACGACATTCAGGAAATTCCTTCATTTATCCACCACCATGATATGTTTCATTTAGACTCCGTTCCCTTTGTTAGTTGTTCTCTAGTTTTAAGTAAATTTAATATTGTTAGTTAGTATGTAAGAAACCTTCTCATTAAACACAACAATCAAATTCACTACTAGTTTTATTTTAATAACATTCTAGTAGAACGGGAGTTCAGAAACGCAACTTCCGAGTGGTCTCCGGATAATTTTTTATCTCACGACTGCACAAATTTTTGGTCCTTCGAGCCGGATTTACTAATACAATTCGAATATACTAATACATATCGAATCTACGGAAATACAAACACTTAAAATCAAGTTATACAGTTACGCCGATAAATAGTGCCTCGAAAAAGCAGTTCTTTCCACAACATACAAATATTGTGTGTTCTTTGTCAATTGAAACAACGCCAGAAATCTAAACACCGCATCTCGAACCGATTTACTGCACAAAATTTTGAAGGTTTGGCCTATTTTTGTGTTTTATTTCTTCAAATCCAGTTGTGTTCAAGTTACATAAAATTCCAGTTAAGAAAAATTTCTGCTTTACCGTGAAATTTTTTTAATTTTTTTGTTGGACACATGGTTTTTACGTATATTACTGATGTTAAACTCATCGTAAATAACCCAAATTTTATTACAATCCTAGAACAGGATGTCAGGCAATATAAGTTCGTGTCGTCGAAAATTCATGGCAGCAATAATTCTATTTAAAAACTTGAGCCATGGATTACGGCTGCGGCTGATTTTTTTGAAACGGATTAATAGAAATTCGTGTTATACAGTTTGGAATAAATGTAAAGCAATATGTATGTCATCATCATTATCATCATAAGGTCGTCAGTACTAAGACTCGTTGGACCCGCACCTCAACTCTTTCCTAGCCTGAACTAATCTTCGCATTTCCCTAAAGTTAGAACAACCCATATCCTTAACTATTTGCGAACAGTAATCTAATCTAAGTCTACCTCTACCCATCCTAACTACCGTTTCTGCCACTAATATGTCTCTGAGTAGACCTTCATGTTTGAGAAGGTGTCCTACTAACCTATCTCGCCTATTTCTTAATGACTTCCATAGAATCCTATGTTCTGCTATTCTTTCTAATACCTCCTCATTTCTAACCTTTTCTTTCCACGGTAACCTGATCATTCGCCTATAATACCACATTTCGTACGCTTCTAACCTTTTCTTTTCCGTCGCGTTCACTGTCCATGTTTCGCACCCGTACAGCGCCGTGCTCCAAACATATACCTTTAACAACCTTTTTCGAATTTCTAAATTAACCGTTCTCGAGCACACAAGTGACTTCTTTTTATTGAAGGCGACTCGACCCTGCGCTATCTTCTGCTTTATGTCCCTACTACTCCTTCCGTCCTGACTTATCTGACATCCTAGATATCTAAAATCGGCCACTTCTTCTAATTTTTCGTCTCCTATTTCTATATTCGCTCTTTCCCTACTTTTGCTTCCCTTGCATATCAGTATTTTTGTTTTACTTTTATTTATTTTCATACAGTACTGTTTTATCAATACCACTTCCATTTTATCTAAAGCTATCTCTAACTCCTCCTTGCTATATGGTAATACTGCTATATCATCTTCAAATCTAAGCATACTAATCTTTTGCCCCATGTATATCTATCCCTACAGTTGTACAGTCTTTAATGATGTTGATGGTGTCTTCGATGTATAGATTAAAAAGTAGGGGTGACAGTGTGCATCTCTGTCTGACTCCTTTCCTAACGTTTACTTCTCTACGTTGCAGCCCCATATATATATAGATATGTCAAAGAAACAAAAAATATTCGAGTTAAAAAAGTTCGAGTAACATAAGTTTGCGCAGGTATAGTTATTTGCCTAGATTTCCAGAACTCCAATCCCACAGCGTCCATACAAAGCGTTAGTAATCTGTCACTTCAAGCATGGCGTGAATGGATTTTCACAGCACAATTCCCTAATGGTTTCATCGGTCAGAACAACCCCCACAACAAGGCTTATAACTGCGTTCGCAACGAAATGTGTATAATTTACATTTCACACATGATGGAGCAATCTCTCTTCATCTTTACCGTGTTAGCGTTATTTATTAACCCAGTTTAAATTTACATACGTATGTAAGGTGGGATATTCTGAAAAGTTCGCAAAAAAAGTCCACGCTAAACCTATCCCAATAAGGTGAAGAAATGGAAACTATTGCAGAAAGATTTCATTATTCAAACATGCGAATATTTATAAACATTTAACATGATCAACGGGAAACAATTGAAACGCCTATTCTTGAGTTCTCAGACGTATTTACAATCTGTAATTAATCGATAAGTCGTATTTATCATAATTATAGATAGGTACTAGACTACCATCAGGATATTACACTCCTATTTACGGAGCGTGGCTCGCTTGGCGAAAGATAAATAAAAATTTATGTACCTTCCGCCGGTGTACTGCTGTACCACATAGATTGTTCGGTAAGGACAATCAAAGAACTCGAAGAAACAGCGTATGTCCGATTAAGATGCGTATCACTTAATACGTTTATTAATCCTATACATACACACGACAAATTAATCTAACTTAAATTTACAATTGCAAAAATTAATTGAATTTGAAAACGATTGGTTTGATGGATGTCCTATCACTCCATTGTCTGAACTGTTCTGTCTTTTTGTATCTGAAAACTATTTCTTCCACTTGTATCACTTCTGATTATGGAATTTTCCCTGGTCACTACCCCCAATGTCACTGGTTACGTACACCAAAAGTTTCGTAGTTAGGTAGCACACAATGGTGTTATAATTTAGGGAAAAACCAAACTACAAGAACACAACCTAGTCCACCGGACCTTGCCGAATTTCACGAGCGTACCAAAGCCGTCTCCCAGAACTTCGTTCCCCTAAATTCCGACTTCAGACACACTACACCCCATGAAATCTCCCGTACTATCCGTTCTCTGAAAAAGAGGAAAGCCCCTGGCGCTAATGGACTTCAAAACGGAGTCCTCAAAGTCCTGTCGCCAAAGTACATAATCGCACTGTGCAACATTACAAACGCCGTCATGCGGCTCCACCACTTCCCTTTGGTCTGCAAAGAAGCCACTGTTATCTGTCTCCCCAAAAAAGGGAAGCCCCTCAGCTCTCCCTCAAGCTACAGGCCCATCAGCCTGCTCAGTTCGTTGAGTAAAGTAGTTGAATCAATCCTTCTCGATCGGCTCTTAGACCACGTGGAGCAAAACAACCTCCTCCCCGATCATCAACACGGCTTCCGCCGGCATTACGGCACCGGCCATCAACTTCTTCGCGTATCTGAATACATTTCCGACAACCTTAATAAGCGGCGTCACACCTCCATGCTTCTTCTTGACGTCCAACAAGCGTTCAACCGAGTCCGGCACGAAGGCCTCATCTCAAAAGTTATCGCCCTTAACATTCCACATTTTCTAGTTGGGGTTATCAGGTCCTTTCTCACAGACAGAAGCCTTCGGGTCCGCGTCGGCTCTGCTCTGTCAGCCAGTAAACCCGTCACTGCCGGTGTCCCACAAGGCTCCAAACTATCACCTAGTCTATTTAACCTGTTCTGTGCGGACATGCCCTCCGCCACTTCTATTTTGACAGCTCTCTACGCGGACGACATTGCCCTCATAAACTCCGCCCAAACCATTCTCCAATGCACGGGGAGAATTAATAAGTTTAAACT